CACGTCAATATGACACTACTCCACGACATTAACGCCAAACTGGCGCCCAATGACCCCCTCAGACGCCAATGGAGTCAAACCGTTGGCCAACAGTTGGATGACTTGCGCCGGGCGTTCACTGACAACGGGTTTGTCATTGATTTGATTAAAGTCCATCCCGACAGCGACCGTATGCCTCGTCAGCATATAATTGGTATGACTATGTTTATTCTAATACCTACTGTATATGTTTTATCAGCATACTTTATTCAGGTTTATACATTATACTGTACAAATAATTGTGTTTTATTTTAATCAATAAAACCGATAGATTTTATGCCAAATATGATGAACGGGTGGCGAAATTATTTCGATACCGACAAACAGTTTGAAAGCGACAAAAATGATTTAATGGAAATAGTGTTCGACTCGTCAACCAATCCCGAAGCCGAACGGCCCGACCCGAAGGCGTGGTCACACTTTCTGGCCAATGAGAGCATCACCGAAGTGGTTAAGACTGAACAAATTGTTCAAATTGTTTGCCATACAATTTAATTGCGCGAAACATCAGTTGTATTGTAATAGAGAAGCGATTTAATAAATTCTATGAACTTCTAATTTAAAGTCTATTCATTACAGAACAATACACTTATTATGAAATGATTATATTGTCTTTATTATTAACAACATTGTCTATCAATACCCAATTAAAATTGCGTTTAAATAAAACTTTAACTGATAAATGAAATATTATTTATGAGTTCTGTTTTGTAAATTTAAACAAGTGATAAAAATATAAAATAACAATAAAATACCATTTAAGTGTTGACAATCTTTATAACATTCTTAAATTGTTTTTACTTTATAGTCCCTGTTAAGTTCTAATTTGAATCAATAGATTTTACGATTTTCTAAGGGACAGTTAATTGATGTTGCCAGAAGCTCCAGGTTACCCGGGAGTTTCCCGGAATCAGGATCTGTCTCCCGTTTTGCGGTGTAGATCTCAGCTTGATATGAACAGCTGACTGCATTAAATTGTGATACAACTGATTGCAATACGTTTATACTTTTTTTGTAATTTAAATACTGTCATACAACTAGCGTGACCACCTGTGCTCTATTTCAGAGAACAGTTCTCTATTTGGACCTGTATATCGGCAAAACAGAGAACTGTTCT